GACAAGCTGCATCTGGCGAGCCAGAACAGCACACGGAACGCCATTTACCTTCCCGCTAGTAAGCGGTCCCTATTTATCTACTTGCACCCAGGGGTGCTTTCGAACTGCTAGGTTGGCAGGCACTGGGACCGAGCGACAGGAGCGCACCCCGCCGCGGGGATTCGAACCGCCGACCTTTCGATCGGCAAGTCCTAGGCACTGAGGCTTTTACCCACAGCGCCACCCGCGTCCCATACTGCTTTTCCTTAGGACATCCCTATTTTCAACTGAGAAGTGTTGGAGGGTATGGAGTTATCAGACCCCAAGCCATCTGAAGGCAGCCCTGTATAGGGAAGTTTTTTTAATGTTTAATATTTAATTATGTTATTATAGATGTTGGCAGCTGCCCAGAGTGGCTGGGGCAACCCAGTCAGATGGGCGGGGTATAAACAGTAAAATTATTATTATGGAATGCAGTAGGACATTGGAGGCTATGTGGTGTCTTTCTATTTGTGCAACGGGACTTCTGGTTTCTAATTCTTCCTCTTCAGACCCCACAAAGCACACAAAATCTGTTTCCTTCAGAGCAGACCTAGGTGTTATGTAAGGGGCTGTGGCTGGGGGGGGGGGAGGGACGGGACAGGAAGGAGAAGCCCCTTTGCCTCAGAGGATACCCACTTGCACTATGCTGCCTGTCACCCATAGCATACTTACTGCATTAAAATAAAAACCCTTTGACATCTATTTTGCAATTTATTTATTTTTAAGAAGAAAAGGAAATGATAATAGTAAAACTGCAATTATTTGTGGAGGATTTTGGTCCAAGAGAGGCTATTGAGGACGCCCCTCCCCCCTTCCCAACAACACTTTAAAAAGCTGCCACTATATCTAATATAGGTCTTAGATGAGTATTTCGTTGGACATTCTCTTATAAAGGAATCCCAATTCCTACGGGGTGTCCAAGACTCCTGTGAAAGAACCTTCATCTCAAGGGCAATTTAAAATGTATTGGCTGCATTTACCTGAGAGTAAGCACCATCGAACATAATGGGGCTTTTCTTAGTAGACATGTATAGGATTACACACAGTGGCAGTTAGGGTTGTCATGTGTTTTGGGAAACTTCCAGACAGTTTCTAATTTTGGATAGGATTCAATCACATCCCGGCAAATTCAGACTGTGCAGTTATAGTTGGTTGGGAGGCTTCATGCAACAAGCCCCCTCCCACAAAGACCAGAATTTTTGAAATAAGGAAAGTAATGGGAAAATGCACTGGGAAATCGCTTGCTTTAACGGTGTCCAAATTCAGACTTCAGAGTAAAGCTCCTCCGAATGTTTCCTTTAAGAAGAAGGGAATTTCATTTCCTCCCAAGCACATTCTGCAGCTATTGCTATAGTAACTTCTTACACTCCTGGGTTCATTATGAATGGCAGTGGGGGAAGCGCCCCCCCCCTCCCTGCACAGAAGCTCTATTCACACCCCACTGGCTGAAACATGCTTGGAGGACTGTTTTTCTTTTTAACCATGGAAAGAACATTGCTTTGTGCCTGGGGGCCTCGCTGTGGGAACTCCCTCCCGGGGGCTCATGCATGTTATCAGCAGTTGGAGGAGGAGGAGAAAGGGGAATCTTGGATCCGTTTCTGCAGTACAGCGGATGCCTCATGCCCTGTGCTCTGTGGAGTTTTGCAGGGCTGAAGAAACCAGTTACATAGGATTGATTCTCCTTGATTCTCATTTTGGTGTTTAAAGAGCCTGTTGCCCGCCATCAAAAGAGATAACTTATTATCTGATATCTGTGACTGGGAAATCACTGTGTTTTGGGGACCCCTTGACAAATTTTGTGGAAAAGCATCCCTACCAATATATGACAAGCACCCACTATTTGTAGTTTCCAGAAACTATTGAAGACAAGCTTCTCTAGCTGGATGAGGGGAGGTGGAAATTAGGTCTGTGCCTTGGGTGTTTATTTGTATTGTTTTAAAGCCATATTTAGTCATTTTAATGAGTGATTGAAAAATATATATGAAAAGTCCTTTAGCCGACTGATCCTTTTTCTGGCTTAGTTTAGTCCAGGTCCAACCCCCAAGCCGTCTGAAGGCAATTCTATATACGGAAGTTTTTTTTAATGTTTAATGCTTTATTATTTTTGTTTATATGTTGGAAGCTACCCAGACTGCTGGGGCAACCCAATAAGATGTGTGGGGTATAAGTAGCAAAATTATCGTTATGGAATGGGACGTCCCTATTTTCATGGGAGAAATGTTGGAGGGTATGGGAATCTCAGACCAGTGGGGGGAATGTCTCTTCTCAGCCACAACCCCTCTCAGCAGGACAGAGGCACCTCAGGATGTCAAGCTGGGGCGGAACTGAACATGGCTGTAGGGCTTCAATGCCCAGCGGCTCCTCCTCTGCCTCCTCCTGACACCACCAATGGTGGGAGGCTGCTTCCACCCACCTTCCCCTCCTTGGCAGCAGGAGCAGGAGGAGGAGCTGGCCACTGGAGCTGTGCTGTGTTTGTTCTGCTCTGCGTTCAGCTCTGAAAAAGAAGAGTTTGGATTTGATATCCCGCTTTACCACTACCCTAAGGAGTCTCAAAGCGGCTAACATTCTCCTTTCCCTTCCTCCCCCACAACAAACACTCTGTGAGGTGAGTGAGGCTGAGAGACTTCAGAGAAGTGTGACTGGCCCAAGGTCACCCAGCAGCTGCAGGTGGAAGAGCGGGGACGCGAATCCGGTTCACCAGATTACGAGTCCACTGCTCTTAACCACTACACCACACTGGCTCTCACTGGCTCTGCGCTCAGCCTCCTCAACATTTGGTGGGTGGTCCCCTGCCAAGAGATATTGAAAGGGCCCCAAATAGCTCAGCCCCCAGGAGCTGGTGTCCCTGCCCCAAGACACACTCCTCACTGGCCCTGCTATGGTTCCTCTTTGCCTGGATGGAGGGTAAAGTGTGCATGAGTGTGTAGAAATGGACCCACTGTTCAAAGGTACAGTGACCCCTACAAAAGATGCCCCCATATCTGAAAAAGGTTCCCCCCATATACCAGGCAGTTGAGGAAAGCAATACAGAATTGGAGGTGCAAAAGTATGCTATCTGCTGTAGCTTCCAGCAGAGCTAAATGCAGTCAATGTGTTCCTTGAAACATTGGTTGAATTAAAGTCACAACAGCAGAAAGCAGACTGGACTGCAAGTGGATGCAGTGAAATCATTTACGCATTCTGCTACATGCAGAGACCCATGTTTTTCATAGTGCCAGGTTACATCAAAAGCTAGATGTGCTTCACATGGATTTTTTTAAGAATAAATCTTTGAGCCACAGTGATCATCAGCTAGTTTGCTCCCTGAACTTTTCTTCAAAACTCTTTGATTTTTCATTTTGGTCTTGCTTGGTAGTGAGTACAGTATGGGATTCTGTGGGACAGGATGATAACATTATTTGAAAATTAGCCTTTAAAGTTTTATACATCTGCATTTTCTTTTGTTTGCGCAGTTAAACTGCCATCCTTGGATTTCTCTCTTTGACATTGATGACTTTTTATATGCAAAGGAATTCAGCTAGTGAGTCCGGCATCTGACCAGATTGCATGTTTACTCATTAGCAGAGCAAATAAGAAAATTGCAGAACATATGTTTGACATTAATCCAACTCATCTGCTTCTGAGACAAAAATGGCAAACAATTTAGTCCTTTTTTCCTCTCACCCCCATCTCTTACTTACAAGCTGTTGGTTGGAAACTATGAAATGTTATACAGTGTTCCTTCTTTAAGATAAAATGGTAGTTGAGATTTCTGAGCTAGAACCCCACCATGTGTTCATTCATTTCCATCTGGAGAAACCTTCTGACCCTATTAAGAATGAGAAAATTTCCCAATTTCTGGTGTGTGTGTGTGTGTGTGTGTGTGTGTGTGTGTGTGTCTTCATGCCTTTCTATATGGCCCAAAAGATTTTGCATACTGACATTCCTTGAACAACACCGAAGTGAACTGAAGAGCAGTATGCTATTATTTGCTTGGATATCAGAAGGGGCTGCTACTGATTTATTTCCATAGCCACAAGATGTGATTTGGGTAGCATAACCACCATAAACCTCATGTAGTCTTTGCCAGCTGCCGAAGCAATTAAGACCCTATAGTTAATTCAGCTACAATGGCAGGCCGTTGCATTGGATAGCTGTAATGTTTTCTCAAATAACCACCTTGGTCAGGGGTGGTCACTATGCAAGGAAAAAGAGGTTCTTTGGATCTTAGTGGATGGCGGTCTGGCAGACCATTAGGAGAAGAAAGCCCTGTTTAGGGAAGTTTTTAATGTTTGAAGTTTTATTCTGTTTTCATTGTTCTGTTGGGAGCTGCCCAGAGTGGCTGGGGAACCCCCCCCTCAGATGGGTGGGGTATAAATAATACAATTATTATTATTATTATTATTATTATTATTATTATTAGGCAAATGTTAGCAAAGAGACATATTAACATTATAGAATAGAATCTAATAACTAACATAAACTATAAAGCCAATAATAACTAATATGAAATATAAAACTAATAACATAGGCAATAAGCAAAGCAATAACAGAGATATAATCACAGAATAGTTTCAGCTGCATGTCTTCCCCAGCCGTTGGAGATCCCTGGTGCTTCAGGTGGGCAGACAATTTTTCACTTGGGCTCACAACCTATGTTCACATTACGGAATTCATATCAAGATCTCAATGTCTTATCAAACTGCTGTCTCTTATATAGTTCATGGAGAGGGTCCTGTGCCAAGCCGATAGCAGGTGGTTTCTGCTGTAATCATTTCCCCATACTTTGAAGTCGGCACCTGAGTGGGCACAGGGCAAGGTCAGCCTTCGCTTGCGTTCCTTCTTTATCTCTGCAGCTGGTCCAGAGCAAGGTCACTTCCTTCTTTCCAATACAGACCGGTGTTTGATAGCTGGCCAAGCCAGGATGTTGCAGCAGATGTAAATAATAAAAGCTACAGTTACATTGAAAACAGGAGCACCACCTACTGGCTGTTTCCCTGGCAACACAATAGCTCAGTTGGCTACAGCGTGGTTCTGATAACGCCAAGGCTGCAGGTTCGATCCCTGTATGGGGCAGCTGCGTATTCCTGCATTGCAGGGGGTTGGACTAGATGATCCTCAGGGTCCCTTCCACCTCTCCAATTCTATGATTCTATGTTCTTCTTTGGAACTGAAACAAAGATCAAATGCTAAAGTGTCATTTCAGAATCAGCAGAACATCAGTGTGCACCATAAAGCACATTTGAAGAACAACCCCCCCAGGAATGCTGTGAACTGTTGTTTGTTACGGGTGCTGGGAATTGCAGTTCTGTGAGGGGTAAGCTACAGTTCCCAGGATTCTTTGGGGAGGGGATTGTGCTTTAAATGCATGTTGTGTACAGAGGTGTACCTGGGGTTGGCGAAACCAGCGCCCATCATAGGTGTACGGCATAGATGTATGTGGCGATGTGACACTGCTGATGCGGTGAGATAAAACATGGGAGAAGCGTGCCATCCTTCTCACTCTGTGATCTTTTTTTACCCTTCCTTCTTACACCCCCCCCCCCCCCGATGCTTCAAGTACTTTGGTCACGTTAAATATAGTAATTTCCAATGTGGCTATTGTAATAAAGTGATTTTTCCTTGGGTTGTGTGTGTGCCTGGGCTGATACAGCTCCTTTCCTTGGGTGCAACGGACCCTAGCTATATACACGGCAGCACTGATATTTGCTGCTTGGGGGAAAAACCTGTATAGACTTGATCCAGTCTCTATCACAAGTTTGACTAAAATAAGCATAAATGATACCACTAAATATTTTTACCTGAAAATTATAGTGATAAACATTCCACACAAAGGCCACTGATTCTTCCCCCCTTTTTCAAGCAGTGAATTGCTAGTAAATCTTTGTTCTGCTTACAGCCAATGGAATCCTAGAGGGGTGGTACCATCTATTTTTTTATTATTAAAAAAACCCCTTCTTTTCTCCGCTAATAAGATGCAGTTTTGCTCTCAGCACGGCATGCAACTCCTTTAGAGAAGAATGAATGTCAGGCATCTCAGAGTGTGCCAGAGAAGCTGGGATTGCTAAAACGACAGGGCTAATGAGGATTTAACTACTCCTGACACCTTCTTTCTTGGAGCAAGGGGAGACAATAGAGCAAGCTACAGGGTGAACAAAGGGTTTCATCCAACATGGATCCAAGTTAGGCTGCATGCACACTGGTCATTCAAAACATATGACTTCTCCCAAGGAATCCTGGGAACTGTGGTTTGTTAAGGGTGCTGTAACTCTGTGAGGGGGAAACTACAGTTGCCAGGATCCTTTGGGGGAAATAAACATTTTTGTTTAGGCAAGCGTCTCCAGATATGTAGAATGTTGGCATGTGTTTTAATCCAGTTTTTAGGTGATCATTGATGATAAACGTTTTTAAATGTTTTAAATAGTTGTTTTTAACCGATTTTACTGTTAGTTTTATTGTTCTATTCTTTTTGTAAACTGCTTTTGGGTATATAAATATTGTAAAATAAATAAATGGTGTGTACACAGCCTGAGTCATTTCCATTAGGAAGCTACTTTGTACTGAGTCAGACCGTTTGGTCCATCTAGCTCAGCAGCTCTACAGGATTTCAGACAGGTGTCTCTCCCAGAACTAACCTTGAGATGGAGGGGATGGATTCCAGGACCGGTCACTTGCAACGTAGGTGCTCTGCTACCCCCGAACTACTGTCCTCTCCTGTTGATTTCAATGGACCTACCCTGAATGGAACTTCATTGGATGCAAGCCACGATATTGGACAAAACAATCCAATGGGATCTGGAGCCAGTTGAATTTACCTCTAGGCACTCCCCCCTGAAAACACTGATAGTGAAGTACCGTCGAAAAGGAAAACAGCAAATATTTATTTAATTGTTTGTGGCTTTTTGACCTTTAGCCAAAAAGGCTTACAAAAAATTAATGTCAAGGTGCTCTGTGCCTCTACACTCATGATCTAAAAAGGCATGACACAAAAAAATTGCAATATGCACTGGCAAAAGAGCTTTTCAGTTTGCTGGACATCTCCTACACTTTGAGATATAATATTTATTACAGTTGGAGACTCTATGCTGACATAATCCCCCCCCCCCTCACTCCTCTTGTGCTTCAGGAACAATGTCACCGGAGGAGTAGCTATAAACAGATAGCCTTGGGAAGAGACATTTTCAGGGCCATCTCAAGACATTTTTGCTGCCTAAGGCAAAGGACAACACAGTTCAGAAACTTCAGCTGGTGCAGAATTCAGCGGCCAAGTTGCTCACTGGGGCAAGACAGTTTGAGCACATAACACCAATTCTGCACTAGCAGCCAATTAGTTTAAGGGCCCAATCCAAAATACTGTTTTTGACCTATAAAGCCTTAAATATCTCAAGGACCACCTCTCCCCATATAAACTGACCCAGACTCTGTGATCATCATCTGAGGTGCTTCTTCATGAGCACTCTCCACAAAATGTTATAAAACCAAAATTATGAAACGTGAATTTGGGACTTTTAAACAGAGGTTGCATGGCAAACTGTCAGGGATTCTTTAGCCCTGATTTTTGCACTGCAGGGGGTTGGATTTGATGACCCTTGTGGGGGGCGGGTTGCTTCTGATTCTGCAGTTCTATGATTCTGTGATTCATTAGAATCCTGCGTCAGAATGCTTGTTCCCCTTATTTTATAGATGATGCCTTCTCTTTCCCCTATAATCTGATAACTAAAATTCTTGCAACCACCAGTATATTTGCCACCATAGTTCTGTCTTTTTAAACTACTGTCTCCTCAATCTTATTTATTTATAAAAATATTTCTATTTCTATACCACTGTTTCAGGGTGGTGTACAGAGAAATAAGGCATTGTTGAAAATAGAACAAAGCAAACATTACAATGATGGGCCAGCCAAAAAAGCATAAAACAGATAGGGCTGTTGGCATAAAAGATTATTCAAGAGATGCCTGAACATCCAAAGCAAGGATGCCGAATTGCATCCCCACTCTTCTCAGCAGAATTTTCTCAGTAGACTAGCCATGGGGTGTAATTCCAATATATAATTTGCCATTTCCTCAATCTTCTGAATTCATTCTTGTGGGATTATTATTACTTTCATTACTATAGCATTTTATATTTTTAAGGGAAAAAATCAGTGACTTACAACCTACGTTAAAACACCCAGTGAAAGAATCCAGATCAAAACATTACTGAAGAAAGTCCCATATAAAGTATACATTCAAAGCAACATAATTAACCAGAAACTAAAATATTATCGTAAAGATTTCAAAAGAAAACATTGCAAAGGAGGTCAGCTACAGAATACACATTTGGTGCAGCAAAGATAACAACAACAACAAAATATTATGCATTTTGAAAGAAAAAGTTGCTAAAGAGTTGTTGCCAATCAAGGATAGACAGTAGACTGTATTAAAGAAGGACCAATGGTTTGACTTAAACTAAGGCCGTTGCACAGCCTGAGATTTTCAGGAACCCAGGTAGAAAGTGCTTCAGCTGCAATCCAAACCCTCTTTGTGTAGGTGTTGGGTAGCAGTGTCCCGCTGCTTGGACCTGCTGCCCTTTGCCCAAGCAGTGACAATTACCCATTGTTCACAATAATGATAATTTATTTTAAAAAGAGAGGGGGAAAGAAAGAAGCATTCCAGAGGGTACCTGGTGTGGTACTCCCTGTACCTCCTCCTGGCAGGATCCTTGCTAGCCGTAGCCCATGGCAAGCCCCCAAATGAGACATTACAGGGATAGAGAGTGTCCGAGTTGTCCTGGGATCTACCAGGTCTTAAGCTGGTCCCGCTGCCATCACTTGATGGCATTGGACCTAACTGTTGCATCAGTTCCAGGCTAGCACAGCAACATGCTGGCCCCTGCATCTTCTGACCCAGCTGCCATAGACAATGGGGCTGAAGATACGGTAGTGCCCCTGATGGTGGGGTTTCAATTGTCCAGCCCTTGTATTGCTATTTTGGCATGAATGTTGTCAGAAGCATAGCAGAACGGATCATTCCATTTATAACTTCAGGGTTATTCTGTTCTCAGTAAGTCAGCTAACTTACTGAGTTGTTGTTGTTGTTGTTGTTGTTGTTGTTGTTGTTGTTATTATGGCATATATGATGTTTTGTACTGATAATTCTGATATTTTGTGTTAATTGAGTCGTTTTCAATTTTCAGTTATCTGCTTTGGGCTTCACCCAGGAAAGAAAAGCAAAATGTAAGCAATAAATGAAATGAAAAATGAAATCCAATCTACAACCTTGAGGAATCATTTAGCCAAACTGACCCAATATGATTATCATGAGGCTAAACTGGGAAGCCATTGAGGAACTCTCCCACCCCACAAAAGAAGCTTAATTTATGGTGACTTACCATGTAGGCACCATGTAAAAATACTTTAAAAAAAATTATCCTGAGGCTTTTACTCTTTCTAGATAAGGCTTTCTTATAAGTTCCTTGCTTTCTGGGCCATCTCCAAACTTTTCCTCTGTGTATTTATCACAACTGCACTGAAACAACTGCTTAAAAAATGCATTTCATTTGTTTGAGCGCATGCTTGGTCTTTGGCATTCATCATTCGTTGCTGTATTATGAATGATATCTTATACTATAAGACATTCAGTATGAAAAAAAGTTTAAAGGAAAATGGAATCTCTCTTTCTTTGGTTGAAAGAGCTTAGGTAGGAGCTGATATTAAGTTGGCACCTGTCTGTCTTGAGAGAAAATGCAGTGTGCCTCCAGGGGTGAAGCTAAACTACTGCATTAGCAGCACCAAAATTGGGGAAACAAGCTTGGGCTGTTGGTATGGAGGTCCTGGGATGCCCAGACAACAAATCCCTCTCTGCCTCACTGATGTGGGCCAAAGGAAAGCAGAGCAATACATTTGGCTCCAGTTTGGCTGCAGGAGTTGCTGCAAAGAGGTGTACAAGGCACTGTCCAAACATCTTAGAGACTCCATTCTGAATCTGTGTAGGGTTTACTCCTTGGCCTTTTCTTCTCCTGAAGATATCCCACAAGACAGCAGAGGGTGAGGATCATAGTTTTCCTTCTCCTAGATGGGGTACCTTCCCAGCTTGGCAAGT